ATTATTTTTTTCTATTTTTGTTTTTTAACATAAATAACCTTTACATTTTAAACAAAGTTTAGATTATGAATCAGATTTTAAGAAGGAATCTAAAAGTTTTATATGTTACTATATTACTATATCACATTTTATGTGCTATTGTTATTTCACAATCCTTATATATATTGTTATTACTGAGATGCAGTATGGATTATTTTTGAAAAGAAAGACATTCTAAAGCTACTAATAAGCAAAATAAGACAATAACACAGTTAACTATAAACTATAAATAAATCACAGTTAATACAAATTTAATCTAAGAAATGAAAAATTATTAATCATAGAGTTCTGTGGAATTATATAGAATTATATATTAATATTTAAAAAATCAAAAAATAAATAAGAAATAATCGAATTATAGATTTAATATATTAAAAATATTAATAATTTTTAGATGTCAATTAAGAACTTTTATTAAGAAATATGTTTTACTGTGATTTTTTACTTACATAAAAAATTTAGGGTGTTTTTTATGAAAAATATATTCTAAAGAAGAGCAGAAGTCTTTACAATTAGCATGAAATAAAAATAGTTTATCATTTTAAGTTTAAAATGTGCATTTGTATCGTATCTTTTTTTTTTTTTTGTTAAAATTAAATATTAAAAATTTTAGAAAAATAAATATTAAAAACATTGTCGAATGATAAATACAGTGCATCGTTTCGTACAGCGAAGTAATTCAATAATGTTCGATTAATGTCAATTTATGAAACGAAATGACAAATGAGAAAATGGAATAAATTTTTTTCCAATTGAAAGTATAGCTTACGTCAAATTAATCATTAATTATAGTGTAGCGTTATATATCTTAATTCATTACAAGAACTGATTGAATCTTTATTTGAGGAAATCTTTAGACAAAATTCATTCTTCGTTGCAAAATTATTTAGATCATATAACGGGGTATTGAAAGCGAGTGCCGCCTTGTACACATGTATACGCCTAGTCTGCTTTTCTTCTGACCGATTACCTTTCCCACGGCGGCTTACAGGAACATAACCGCGTTTATATTACAGTCTGTCGTGCGCATTTAGTCACAGGCGAACGTGCACATACACGGATAAACTTAACATACGGTTCACTATGAGAAATTCTCATTGCGAGGGCGATTGTCTGTTGCAATCATAAAACATCGGCACTGATCCAGTTTGAAAATCAAACGAATCTCTATGTATGATTAAATCGGTAAAATAATATTTATTATAATGCGCATACGTGTTTGTTTCCATTTGAATCAACAAGTTTCAATTTAATTTGTGGAGATTTATTTATGTAACTAAGGATATTCGCATCTCTGTGAACTTAGCAATTCTGATAATAATAAGTGTATCTTTCCAATGTTTTACACGCACATTCCTGTTGTATGATATATTGTGGGAACAAAAACGATACAAGTCTAT